TGTGAATCAAGATTGTTGCATTGTTTGGGAGGTATGGTTTTGTTAGTAACATGCATTTTTCTTTGTAATTTACTTAGGACTCGATCCTACAGAATTGACCTTTTCCTGGCCGTTTACCCACTAGTTAATTAATGTATGTGGCAGCGAAGATAAATCTTGATTCCACTTCTATACTCTTAAGACTGATGGATGTTTGTTGCACTTGTTTTCTAGGAGTTTGGTGGCCAAAAAGACATGGTGTTCTGTGGCGTATTTGATGGACATGGTCAATGGGGTCATTTTGTTGCAAAGAGTGTTAGGGAATCAATGCCGTCTTCTCTACTCTGCAATTGGCAGGAGACATTGGCTGAAGCTTCGCTTGACCCAAGTTTTGATTTGGCATCAGAGAAGAAGCTTAACGGATTTAATATATGGAAGCAATCCTATATAAAAACTTGTGCTGCTGTGGACCAGCAGCTCAAGCGTCAGCGTAAATTTGATACATTCAACAGCGGCACTACTGCTTTGACCATCGTTAGGCAGGTAACCAAACTGATATAACTGCTGCTGCTGTACTATCACCAATGTTTGCTTTATTCTGGATTGGCCACACTGTAATGGGAATGGACAAACAGGAATGTCTTTTCCACTTGATCATCAGCCCTTAATTTGTAGAATGATTTACTTTTATCTAAATGAGGAGGCCTGTTGCAGGCTCCATGTACTAAAAAGTCATTGTTTGTCATGAAGAATTTGGCAGCTAAATCTTCTTGTTGCATTAATGCAACTCCACAATATAGTACATTGGTTGTGTTTTAAAATGGCCTATGGAAATTCTTCAGCCTAATATGTATTGGCAAATAACTCTTAATCTGTTTCAAATTAAGGTCAGTAGAATGATACATAAAAGATCTTATCTCAACCTCAATCTTTATATTAACCCCAGTGATGGATATCTAGGAGAGAGCAAAAACGGTAATTACTCAGTATGAGCTTCATATGCTTATTTCCCTTCTTTTCTTTTCCCAGCTCTCTCCTTTAGCGCAGCATCTTAGGGCATATTTTCTAGTGTAATAAGCCCATGCTACTTTATGTATAAGATCATAGCTATCTGCTTATTTTCCTCAATCTTGTGGTATCTCCAGGGTGACCTTATTTACGTAGCAAATGTGGGCGACTCACGTGCAGTATTGGCTACAACTTCTGATGATGGCAACTTAGTACCAGTGCAGCTGACGATTGATTTCAAGCCCAATCTACCCGGTAAGTCTCTTTTCTTCTGCTTTCTCTTATTCTACACCATATCGGACATCTTTGTAACTCATTATGGCCTTCCTAACCATTTGAACAGAGGAGGCTGAGAGAATCACAAAATGCAGAGGTCGTGTGTTCTGTCTAGAGGATGAGCCTGGGGTACACCGATTGTGGCTTCCGGATGAAGAGTCACCTGGACTGGCAATGTCTAGAGCCTTTGGGGACTACTGTGTTAAGGATTTTGGATTGATATCCGTTCCTGAAGTTACACAGACGCACATAAGTGGCAATGACCAATTTGTTGTGCTAGCAACGGATGGGGTATGCATAATCCTGCCCTTTATTTTTTTCTCTTCAAAATGTCTCTGCTGGAAGAACCAAACTATAAAACCAAGACTGGTTTAAACTACTAATGATAATTGGGCTGACACAATTGATGTCTAATGACAATGAACAAAATTCACCTGCAGATACGTATATGCATATATGAATGCACTCCATACCCTTTTTTTTAAGTCCTTGTACTCGTTTTTCATCTTCAATCTTTGATATGAAAGACTTTGAATAGATACTAACAAGTAAAGTTTGCATTTGTCTGAAGGTATGGGATGTGGTTTCCAACCAAGAAGCAGTGCAAATTGTAGCATCAACTCCAGACAGGGCAAAATCAGCCAAACGTCTAGTTGAATGTGCTGCCCATGCATGGAGACGCAAGAGAAGGGGTATTGCCATGGATGATATTTCTGCTATAGTTCTCTACTTCCATAATTCTGATCTTTGTCAGCAAATCTATCCTGTATATTCATCCAAATAGCATTCGAGAAGAGTGAAAATATTGCTCGTTTATCTTTCTTTGTACTTTTGGCCTCTCTCACTCTCTCTGGCTGAAAATCCATAGATGATTAATGATGCAGCAGCCTAATTAAACAAGAAAGAAGAAGGAGAAAAGGGAGAACTTTAGAACTAAATTGAGATCTGCTGATTTGATTTCAGACCTATCTTTATTGGTCGACATGAACCACACGCAGGCAAATATTAATCTCTCTTTTGGACAAGATGTGTTTACAAGTGGAGAGAGGATGAACTAGGTTGATTATCTTAATTATTTGGCACCTCAATTACAAGTTATGACAAAGGTAAAAGAAATCATTTCAGTTTTTGTTACCATTTTCACAGATTATACCCAAGAATATGGCATCTCTGAAATTGGCAAAAGCTTTCCTTTCTTGTAGGCTTTTTAAAACTCAATTCGAGTAAGGGCTGTAAATTGAATCAAACAATTTGGTACTTGACTTGAACTCGGTTTGAACCAGGTTCATTCAAGCTTGTTTATTTAGGTATCAATCCAAGTTTGAACATGATTTCAAGTTTGAAAATATTAACAAACTAATCACGATCTTCATATTATTTGGCTCGATATGTTTAAGAATGTATAAGGCCGGTAAATTTCATAAAAATATACCTATGGTTTCCTTTCTTAATTTCACTTCTTTCCTTCCCGTATATTGCTTATCTTCTACAATAGCAAGCATATAATACTTTTGTCTCTTGAATAGGCATAATTGACTTTAATTACATCTCTAATTCATCATAATAGATTTCTTGAATATCACAGAGCAAAAATTAAGGGGAAAAAACCATAAATTAGGGTGAAAATCTCTATATTATACAACATGAAATTTCAAGTCAAGCCAAACTTTGATTGTATGTACTTGAATTCGATATTTTGACGAGTCAAACCAAATTTTCTGTGAATATACGTCTGAAATTTCAAACCAAACTCGATCAGTTTCTCTCAAAAAATTTTCAAACAAAAGCCAAGTTCAAACATTTCTTTTAATCTTCAAGCCAATCTTGAACATACTTTTGTCTGACTCGTTGAGCCTTGTTTTTGGCCCTAATTCGAGTAGAAAAATTTGGGAAAAAAAAAAGCATAAAGTAGTCACGTGATTAGCTAATGAAACCAGAATGTAATTCCACTCTCACTCCGCCAAAGGACACTGTACTGTTACGTACTTGTGCTTGCCGACAATTTTACGACTGATTTAACGTTCAGACTTCAGATGCTAATAAGCAGGAAATTCTGTATTTTAACATTCCACCATAGGACCTCTCCGTCCATATTGCTAGTATGCTTTCTGATAATTAATACTTCATTTTATCTCGCAGGGATGCATTACTCAATTATCAGATAATAAAGATCCCTGGATAATCACATAAAGACGTATGGGTTCAGTGAGGAAAGAAATATTTCAAAGGGAAGACGTATGATGGTTAGGTCAATCATAGTATTCTCACAAAAAGACAAAATGTTTCATTGCAGATGTGTTGAATGGTTTTATGAACGGAAAAAATTTGTTTTCCTTTCCCACTAGTAAGTGAATCCTCCGTTTGGCTCCTTATGACCTCGCTCCGGTGCAAGTTTTAGGTTCGAATCTTGAGTCTAGTAGTTAGAGGTAAGAATGATGAGGATGGAAAAGAAAACATGGTAAAAGCAAAATTGAATCTTTGAGTCCTTCGCTGTGTGGCCTTAGTTTTGGTCGACCTAATCCGGACTCGGGGCACGGACGGTTGCAGGTGCAACCGTCCAGAGCAATTTTAGTCATTATCAACTGCGCGTAACTTTCTTTGTACATCATGTAACTTTTTTTTCACAGGATGTATTTTCACAACAGATAGTGGTGGGCCCCACACTTGGCGCGGAAATCGAGTTACATGGTGTAATCTCAGCCGCACAAAATTTTGAGGGCAAATCTTGGCCCTTAACCGTGCAGGGACGGTCCCCAAATCCACCTAATCCATAGCTGAACTAACTTAGCAGCTAGTAGTGGTGGAGTCAGAACCCTAGGGTTAGGGAGTTCAATATTCGACACTACATCAAATATGATCATAGTAAATTTGCAATCAAAAGATGCTTATGTTAAACATACTTTTTTCCATTTTGTCAATTATATTTTGACATCTAAATTGTGTAATAATGTAATGGTAGTTTGAAAACGTAAAAAGAGTTTGTTCTTGAAGTTACATCAATAACTAATCTTAATTAGATCCAGCACTATAGCGAAGTGTAAGGATTAAGAATTTTTAATTTATTAAGGAGGTCAATGTAAATAAAAAAGAGGGATTAAAAAATTTTAGAGTGGACAATACAGATAAGAAAGAGAATTTCAAAAACATTGGGGGGCAAAGTTGATAAGAATGAGAATTTTAAATATCTTAGGGGGCAAATAAAGGAGCAACTTAAAAATTTTCAAGCTTTATGTCTAAAATAAAACTTTCTCAAATTTGAGGTGGAGGGAGATAATTGTCTACCCTCAACTACATTTGACTTCGCCAGTGACAACTAGGGATGGTAATCGAGGGGAGGGGGAGGGAGAGATGTAGGTAAAATAATTGAACGGAATAATTGGGTGGACTGAAGGTTCAAATTAAGGGGATTCTCTTTCCGTTTTAGATAGGGCAAGGGAAGGAAGGACGCCCCGTCCTCAATCCCCCACCACTAAAATAAATTAAAAAATGTAAATATTTATATTTAATTATATATACACACACATTATAATTACATGTCAATATTATATGCATCTATACTATAATTTGAGAACTACAGATCTCATTTGTATAATAAAATGATAATTTGGTTATTTTAAGTTTACGTGAATTTTTTTTAAACATATTCTAAGTTGTTTACCAAAAAATAAAAACCAGTATGATGGTTATAAATTTATATTTACTATTAAATGTGAAGAAATGAATTAGAAAGATCAAAATGATTTTTAACCTTGATTTCACATCGAATATTTATTTAAAAGTTTCAAAGAATGATTTACAATGTTGCTATTGATGTTACATATGTAGACAAATAATATCAAAATGAAAAAAAAATCATAATCAACAAAATCACACATCTAACTATCCTCATTTCTGCATTATATACACTTCCTGTACAGTGCGTTTTTCTTCTTTTATGATGCTATCTCAATAAAAGACCTGAGGGGATGTATAAAACTCGCTCTCAATAAACATTGGTCTCAAATCTTTTTCTTGACACATGAACTCCAAGGGAAAGGAAACCAGAAATCCTCTTACTGACTCCAACTTTCTAGTTGGATCCATAAGAATTACTTCCCCATTCTCAAAATGTTCTACCTTCTCAGGGGCTACTCCTAAATCTATGGTAGTATGCCCAACTTTCTCCCTTGAGTTACTCATAGCTTGTCTAAAAGCAGACCTGCATTTTGGACCATGTCAGTTGTATATGTGAGAAACCATCCAAGCGAGTGAAGACAACAAAACAAAGGAAAAAGAGAAAAGCAAGAATATAGACACAGAACCCTTTTTTACCTTGAGTGGATAACGTCATTTGGGATGCAAGCGAATACATCTTGGTAGATCCTGGCATTTGACTGTTAAAAAGAACATCATTAGTTGCTTCTTTGGAAGGTGAAGAGAAATCAAGTTTCTATTTAAAAGGGAAAGGCATAACTTAAGAATTCTGTGGCTTAAAATATCAAAAGTTAATCAAGCTTCTACAATCTGCTTCTGTACCCAAGGATCTTTTCATTTTTTTCCCCTAAACTTTGTGGAATAAAATTCTGAAGCATCACCACACCTTACATTTTTTGTGTGATGCTCAATCTGTTGAATCCTCTCCCTAGTTGGTCTGGGACATCAACATTTTTTGGCAAATAGATTTAGGCATTGAAAATTAACTCAATGTTTGTGGTTCATATTTGAGATATGATCTTGTCAAAGATTTCAAAGCTCCAAGAACACGTAGTGGATAAGATGATTATTGGCAGTTGAGAAAGCTAAACCGTGTGACATGCAGATTATAACCCCTTCCATGACCATATAGCTATATGAAGCTTTGTGGACTGCTTTTCCTCTCAATGCCAAGGAAAAAGGCAGGATATTGACACAATTTTGATACTAGTGTGTAGAATTATGTTACCATGCTTTCAATTGCTCTAAACCCTATATTCAGCAGCGACTCAAAAGTTTGTGAGTAAGACGGAGAATCATTATGCTGTATGTTCAACTGTTCAGCACCCTATATTCAGAAGGGACAAAAACACTTTTACTGTCAAGTAGACAATGTATGAGTACTTGACACCGAAAAGCTATCATTTAATGGCAAAATATTCTCACCCTTGCAGTTGCCATCCACAAATCCTTGTATGTACTGTCAATTATCGGATCTCTGATTTTATCAATCTGGCAAACATCAAAAGATGGATGATGCATGTAAATATCTTTTGGTAAAGTTGATTTAAGCTTATAGAACAGCCGTAAGAATTATCGCGAGGTTTTTAAAAAGAAAAATTCTAAAATCTGAACTAGCGTGCAAAGTTAAATTGTCAACAGTCAATAGCACTAACCTCCCCAGAGCACAGGCCTAGATGCTCCGCCCACAAAGAGATCCGTAGGTTGAAAGAAAATTCTCCCGCCTTCCATGAGTTCCCATTCATTGATGATTCCACTAAAGTTTTATCTTCAATGAGCATGCCAATCTAAGAAAAGAACGTCAGTGTGAAAATTATCATTTTTACTTGCACTAAGTATAGGCAAAGGAGTTCAGCAAGTGGACTTGTAGAGATGATTGGGTTCAGGAGAATGCTGATAGATAAGCTGCAGTTTCTTTATCCAGTGAAACTTATGGACAACCTAGAACAAGAAAATATCATACATTTTGCATTTTTGAGTTCTGGCAGAGATAGGGAGTCTACAGGGTAAGGTGAAAAACCAACTACACAAGATACATTCAAATTGAAAAAATTAAGCACTGGTTTGATATCATAGAAGATTGTTTGGTGCTAAAGCAATTTCTTAAACATGCATAAACGTTATCTTAGTGACATATTACCAAACCAATGAACCAATCAAATCAACTGATTTCATGTCTCAAGGCAACTGAATATAAAACTAAAATTAGTATGCAGTAGCATGCCAAAACTAGCTGTTTAGCTTTCAATCTTAACAGCATTTACAGAAGAACTTTGTTGTTGTGAGTATTCATGTCCAACTGTCAGAAACTTGCCAAAAGTAATTTCACAGTATCTTGCACATGCCCATATAAATTTCATTAATACAGGAAGAATAATTTCATTCATAAGTAGTAGCAGAATTTTATGGTATCTATGACACATGAAATGATAGAACTTTCATTCTGCAAGTCTGTCCAAAACAGAATGTGCTCACCTCAGAGTCTCTTGACCCAAGTAGACTTCTGTCATTAATGTTTGCTGATCCAATCAGGGCTATGCAATCATCTATAATCATCAATTTACTGTGGACATACACCTAGAAGGAAAATGATATAGAGTTGATTAAAGAGAATAATTAATAGCCAACAATCCAGTGTTAAACCATTAATTTCATCTGGGAATAATCTGGACAAGCAATTTTTGACAAAAACAATTATTCACTCCTAGCGTAATATTTCATCCCTTATGAAGACTTCACCAGTGGAGTACTGGAAGTAATTTGTGCTAGAGTATGTCGCAAGTCTGAATGTGTTGATGGGCTAACTTCCTAGATTAGTTGTTTTGTTAAGTACTAGATCAAGGACTGACGTTATTAAAGTAAGAGAACCAGAAGAGTACTGTGCTAGGATTATCTAGGGCACTCCTAAACTGTGGATCAAGGCAGTTTACTTAATGTCCTGGGAGTGTGCAAGACAACGAGAAAGGAAAAAAATACCACTAACATAGAGAATTACTAAGAAGACAGACAGGAAAAACTCCATAGAGTACCAATAGTTGAGTGTATTTGCTTGGCATGGTGTGGCTGTGGTGCTAAAGGATCAAAAGCAAGGTATTCCGTCAGGATGTGATGAAATGCTAAAGTATGTAGATCTTTAAGTATGCAATCCCACTCAAGGAAGCATAATACATTAATCAGTTGAAAATCTGTATGCAAGATATTACCTGACTTGTGACCACTGGACCACCATCAGAAAGCTTGCCATGGTTCCTTAAACCATAAAAAGATAAATAGTTATCTGTTTCATCACCCAGCAAAGAATAAAGGTTGTCTAATATCGAGTTTTTTGGTCTGGAAATTGTTCGATACTGCCAATGAATGATGGCTCGTACGGTTGCAGCACCACCATCATCCAGACCTCCCTGATACATGACAAATAGCCGTAAGAGGCAACAATACAGAGTTATGTTATCTTGTGGAATGAAAATCAGCCCTACCTGGAAGCCCGGTAAGAGAGGAATAACAACTATAACCCTGAAACACTGACGTTCTTTGTGTGCTTGGAGTATACGCTTGTACAGAGCATCCAATACACGGTTCTGAATGGTATCATCACCCGAAAGACCTGATATGAAAAACTGATTCTAAAAGCAGAATCCCACAAATGACAGACATAATTAGATTCATTTACATTTTTTCTTTCCACCACTCGTGTAAATGACAAGAAATTAAAAAATTAATGACCAATCTAGGCAAGGAAACTAGCACAAGCCAAGCTACATGCTTATGAATTAACTTACAAGATTATATTACTTTCTTGGGTCCTCTGGTTAGTTTGTCTTCTTTCTCAAGGACCAATATGCTTGTTTTACTGACTCAATACAAATTTCTCTCTACTGATTTAAAGAACTGGTCCTTTAGAGATTTTGGCCACTGAAGGTTTTCACTTCCGGAGAGTTTTAGCCATAAAAACATTTAACTGCCTGCACTCACTTTCTTACTGTCACGGCATGCTATATTTTCTTAAACAAATAAAGCAAAAATATCTGCGGAGATGCACCTGTTTCTGACACCACCTTTAAGTACTTGTGCCGAATGAGAATTTGAAAATATCTAATTCATTAAAAAACTCTAAAGGTGCATTTTCAGGATAGATTTCAAGTTGAAAGTTCCCTTAACATTCTCAGAAAACATATACAATTAGCCTTCTTTAAGAAGCCTCAGAAATCTGAATGGGATGAACGGACCCTGTATCAGCTAACAACATACAAACTTTCCACACTGCAAGTATTTCCATAATCTCACTTATCTATGCACCTCCTTGACAAGTATACATGGTTTCTAATTGCCAGAAGCTTTTATGAAGAAAGAGTTAACCATAAAGAGAAGACATCACATCTGAGTTCAAAAATATTTCATCACAAATCAGTGTGCTAATGTCAGAACCTAAGATGAATCCCTGTGCTAGATCAACTAAATTTATCCAGTGTCTCAGAGCGTCTCAGAGCATTTCTTGATCACAAAGGTCTTATTACTGATCTCTGCATTTGACACAACGAGGATTTTGCCTCATGAAGTTAATCAATATTTAGTTGCTTTTGGACAGTTCATTAACTCCAATGCCCGATATTTAAAACATCAAGCTTTTTTTCTGTAACTCCTAATCCAAGAAAACTGTCTAATAGGAATACATGGAAGACGCTTTTGCAAAGAATTAAAAAACTTAAAAGTCCAATTTATTATCCATATTGTCGCTATTTTTGCCATTGATATGTTAATGATTGAAGCCAGACCAAGATATGTTGGTCATTTCTCCAAAACTGACTCAGATACAGCAGCATATAACCACTTTTATAGTAATTCAGATAGTTGATTTCACCTCTATGTAAATGAAGTGTTCCGCCTTCTCTATCATAGAACAATAAGCTCTGTGAATGCTGTCTTCAGTTCTACTTATTCCAGCAGACCAATTGCTTACGCTTCTAATGATCTACAATTTATCAGAATGAAAACCACGAGTGAGCTCAAATTCAGCACATAACATTCCAGAAAGCAAAAGTGTAACAAGACTAGAAACAGTTATACGACAAGATGTTAAACTTTTTGATATAGGAGCCATTTCCTGAAGTTGGAAAGAAACAGCATTGTGTTTCATGCCCAATTTCTCATTCTGTAAAATATTCCTCTACCCTGTAGTTTACTTTCTCTTCTCACAAGGCTTTCAGATCTGAAATGGTGGTTCAATTCAGAATCTGAACACAAAAATGGTTAAACAGTTGAAATTTGAAAATTAAGAGCAACTTGTTTCTGATACAGAACCTTATTCTTAGTCAAGAACTCTGTTTCTGAAACCACTAATTCTTTTACATATTTTATATAGAGTTTCTTTTCTTACATATTGTAAGTTTAAAAATAGTTAACTTCAAACAATACTATAAAAATCTGGAAGTCAAAAGGAAAAGGAGATCAATTTTGCGGTTAATACAGTAAAAGAAACATGTAATTGAATTTTAATGGGGACTACATCTAACCTGACAGTAACATGTAGTACGAGGACCCACTTGAGTTGCTTCATCAGGTGAAACAACCTGACAAACTCGCTCTTGTCTTTCCCACCAGTCATCTGAATTTTCCAAGTCAGATGCTCCAGCTTCATCCTTTTCTGTTTCAGGTTAAAAGTATGTGATCAAAATTCGTCTCAAACGACTTTCAATTTAAGGTCTGATACAGAAGATCCAACTGTGAATTTATGGAAGGCGAATATAAAACCTTCTTTGGCCTCATGCTGATTCGGTTGGTATTGATCGGAAGCTGGCACACTTAATCTGTCATCTAAGCTGGAAAAGTCAGGGCCATTAGCTTCCTGGGGCAATAGCAATGGGACATCTTCTAAAGGGGACTGTGAAGAAAATGAATCCTGTCTGTCTAAGTAATTATTATTCACTGGAGTAGCCTTATCTTTTATCTCTATCTCCTCACTCCTTCCCATGTAATGTGGAAGAACCATATGCTGCTGAGGCATAAGAAGTGGTATTTGTTGTTCATCTGGAGCTGTGTTCCTCTGGATGGATAATCAATGCATGAGCAATTGAAATTTTTTACATAGAATGCATAGTAGATGTAGATGTAAACCTTAGCATGGTTCCAACGCTGAACAAAGTGCCTGGCTACATCTCGACATGGTGGTCCCCATAGAGCACAATGGACATCATGCCAAGGCATTCGAGGGTACTTTCTTCTCTCAAGCTCGTCTTTCATGGTGTCTTCCCAAGAATTTGGTTCAGATTCCCTGAATGAATAGTAATTGTTAAAAAGGAAGCTGATAGCAAACCTTAGAACTGATAGACAAGGTTCATATGAAATTTGTGAAGAATTAAGAGGACAAAAGTACACTTGAATGCATAAATACTGAAAACAGCACACTAGCTTTCAAGAGTTTGTGAAAATGGAATCTAAATTAGTGACGAGTGATATTGCACACTTCTACAACATATTTTGAAAAAGTGGCCATTCCAAGAAGAAGTCATTGTTTTTGTTTTTTAACTAAGTTAAATTAAGTCATCCTAGGTAATATTATGAACAAACTGATGTAACGTGAGAGTACACAATTCCATTCCTGACACATTTTTGGCATCAAGAGATCAAGGTAAGTATGTTGCCAAGTGCTTTTCTATAATAAGTAATATCATAGTTCAACCATTTCTAGACATTTCGCTAGGTTGACTCAATCATATATATATATATGCATCAATAATGATTCCTGATTCCTGATAATCAGTCAACCATATGCCATAAATGCATAACTATTGCTCAAATGCATCCATTCAGCTGATAATAAATCATCTATGAGCTACAGATCAACTTCCAGCTCTACGTCAATCTCTTCTAAAATAGAAGTCCACATGAATCTCATCTGTCACTAACTACCATCAATTGACAAGTTAAAAGGTTGGCATGCTCACAGAAATTCTAGAGTACCAGTTGGCTGAGTAAAGAAGTACAAGATTTTTACCTGGGATTGTAGTAGTCCTTTCCAGGCCATACAAAAGGGGGGTAGTCTCCCACTTTATGTTCATTCGTATCATAACGCCCAAAGCATAAATCCAGTCCTCCAAGAAAACAAATATAGTGATCTACAATAACCAGCTTTTCATGGTGTGACCTGATTATTTACAAGGCATTGAATGAGTTCACATGAAAAGGGGGAAAAGGATAATACTGGAAAGCTTTAATGACCAAAAAATAAAAAAAATCTGCAACAGCTGCAATATGGACATTTGAAGTCAAATCACACGAAAATTTTCAGTTTACTGCTCAAGTAGTTGCATACCATAAGTAAACACCAGTTGGAAAACGGTTAGGGTAGCGGAGAACTTTGATATTCTCATGGATGCTAAGAAGCTTCCTTTTACTATACGAGCTGTTAATTTTTAAAGCTACAGAAACCTCCTTGTAGAGAAGAATGTAAATCTGCAAAAGCACAAAATATACAAATTCATGAATACCAAGTACTTGTGGCCATTGATGGTATATGCGTTAAAAATACTAAAAAATAAAAAGATACATCTTTCATATCTCCTCACCCAAGGAGAAAGGCTTCTAGATAATTTCATTTTAATGCAGCTCTCAAACATGAGGATGACATCCTTACAAGTATCAAAAGTTGAGCTGCTTGACATGTTGATGGATGAGCTATAGAGTAGTAAGAAGGTGAAAGACTAAATAGTCATTGAGAAGAAAAAGGTGCTCCTGACTTAAGACAAGAGCATGGCTGTTGCTAAATTTGATTGTACAAAAGGATCCACATAGCATACCTCATGTAGGCTGGGCTGAATGCTATGTTACATTTATCTGACTTATTCAAAGTCAAGAGAATACAAAATAACATGCAAATATAGTCCAATTGGTAAATTTCCTTTGTTTAGTGTAGCTATCAAGATACACATTTAGTTGAAATTAAGAGTAATGGGTCCACAATCATTGTTATTAGATTTCAATCCCTAAAGGAAAAAAGGACTTTTAATTCTCTGAATCACAGATGCATGACCATATATATTGAGGAGGGCTACCTATTCTGCAACTACAGAGAACTAAGGCAAGTAGTGAAATTAGATACCGAAAACTCTTACTTGATCAACTTCTTCTCTAAGTATTTTTCATAAGAATACTAAAGATTATTTACCCAGATAGTTTACAATTAGGTCTGCAGGATGATGTCATCAGTATTCAAAAGAACCTGCAATTGTATAAGCTCGTACCACAGCACTCAGATACTTCTTATGCTCTAACAAAAACCTCATGCCTCTAAACTACAAAGCTACCCTTCATATGAAGCACTTCCTTTAGTTGCAATCTTAAATTTTTCAAATGCATAGTTTATCATGTAAATAGAGAAAGTAAAAAAAGTTGGTCTTCTATTTTCACCTGAACCCCTTCCTTTGCTTTGACTTCAAGCAGCTTGTCAAGGCGAGAAGAGCAGTGTTCGTGGAAGGGACGTCTTAAGTACAGTTCAGGGCAAAGCCACCATCCAGTAATATATATCTGTAGGCAACTTCGCGTCACTTTAGGTCTTAGCGGTTAAAATTGGCACAAATTGAAGCCAGAATGTCATATAGCAAGATGAATATTAAACCTCGGATTTTGCTTTCTCTATGGATGAAGCAATTGCTTCAAATGCAGCTTTTCCATCTATAAACCATTGAGCTTGAGTCCCATCCTCAGTCAAGCCCCTTTGAGGAGCAAACGAATCAAAACGGTGATAATGGCACCAACCTTCAGGAGGACTAAGACCAGCATTATTTATTGCTGAAACCCAATTTCTGACTTTAGCATAACTCGTGCTTCTTAAGTCAACTCTACGACTTCCACAGGAAACCTTTGTCCATTACAATGATGATAAAAAGTTAAAAGCCTGTAAGTAAAGTTGACAGGCATGAAAACTATTTGGGAAAAAAAATTTTGTTTGATTTCTAATGCTAACAAATTCCCTTAAGGAGGCCCTTTCTAATGTCATGATTTACACAATAAAATTGAGGCATAAGAGATCCAAAAAAAAACCTAAGTTAGTGTATATTGTGTGGCAAAGAATAATAAATACTTTCTTATTATATAATTGCAATTCAAAAATGCATGATTATCTTATACCAAGCACATCAAGAGCATAGCAAGAGCAATCTAGTCTAACATACTTCGAATATAAAGAAGGCTAGTTAGCATGATGACAGAACAAGCTAGAGTATAAGTTCACAGAATATTTCATGTCTTGAAACTAAACCATCATTTGTACCTTAAACGTGTAATGCAATGGGTTTCGTTTCTTTATCTCTTCAGCCAAACATGATCCATCCTTTCCATCTAAGCTTGAAGCTGGAAGTACATCAAAGACAACTATATCCAATGGGCTCGTGTCAAAGGGATCCTTCAGCAAAGCCAAGAATCCAGGCTTTAAGACAGCCCAAACCTGTAAGTAGATTGTCTTTTGTCATGCAATAAAATAAACAATCTGAAAATTAAAGCCCAGAAAGTAGGAGACATTATTGAAACAACAATTCAAGGCACTTAATTGAAGATTCGTTGATCCATTCAGTCAACAGTAAATTCAATAATGACATGATCAAATCCAAACCTGAAAATTACCTTCAAATGCCTATGTTTTCAAACCCAATCCTGCTCATATGTATATCCATCCACCACAGAGTGAAATAAAAAAGAATCATGACAGAACACAAAAATCTGAATTTTAGTGAGATACTATCAGCTTTACAAATAATAGTGAGCATAGAATAATGGCAGCATAAGTAACTGTGACCAACAGATGAATAAGATGAAAAAGTTATGAGCACGGACAAATATTTCCATCATAAAAATCTAAAGTCACAAATTAACAAATTCTGTCTTTGTTTATCAACCATAAGAAAAATATCTCCATATGGTATTTCCTTTTAGAGAAGAGCATAGTTAATACAATATCTGAATATCAGCTACAGGTCATTGAATCCAAAATGAGAGGACATCACTCAAGTATATTAGTCTTTGAACATAAACCAGTAGCCGCAACAAGAATTACAAATAAAAATATCCATACCCTTGGAAACAATGTAATTCGACAATACTATTTGGCTTTCCAAAACAAATTTTCAAATTTGTTTTGTTGAGGAAACGACGTGATTCAGCAAATATCTCATATAGCCTGAATTGATTTGAACCTCCAGTTTTGATAACCACTAGGTAAAAACTGGGAAAAGATTCTTTCTTTGGAAAAATATCACAGACAGAGGACTACTAGCAGCAGAAAGAGTCACAGCAACAGATGAATGTTTCATCAAGATTATATAACACTAACTGAATCAATTTAACTTAAAAAAGATCCACTGTTAGCTCATTAACTTTGTAGAAGACTATATGAGTACTCTTTGAACCTCCACTGCTACAAAAACTATGCCTAACTAGTTTACACATATTCATGCTTATACCAATACTAGCAAGAGCATTTACCTTCTGCCACTTGCTATTACAACAGCCAGTCCAATGACACAAGCAACACCTTGCATATGCTTCCTCCTTTGGCGTCCTTGACAAATGCTTAACCATTACATAATCTTCTCTTAGCTTAGGACCAAATTCTTGTGAAAATGATAATTTAGAAACTTCCAAAAACTTGCAAACCTAGAATTAAGAAGATAAGTTGCATGATTATCAAAATATATCAGTAATAAAACACAAAGAACTGCTAAAATGAAAATGAAATAAGAATATCTTCAAAATATATCCTTGGGGAAAAAGAGATTAAAATACCATAAAATCTCTGTCACTATGATGTATAAGTGGAAATTTCAGCTACTTTCAGGTTTACTATTGGAGCACAAACTATTTATCTTAGTTTTGGGTCTTCTTTATTTTATTCAGATATTTGATAAACTGCAAAAAGAGAAGCTTTCATGATTTGTAGCTTGAATATATCGCAGATAAAGAAATGGGCAAGATAACATACAAAGTTTAATTTCCTACTCCTGGTAACGTTAGTGAGAACAGCCATACTTTGACCAAAAGCTTTCAGTCCTAAAGTGAAATTTCACACTACTTCTTGTACATATAATTGTGAAGAGAAAGTTTAACAAAAACTATACATATAGCTGAATCTATCTCATAAATAAAGAGGAAATAACAAATAATTCAGAGATTAAGAACTTCAACTGTTTACTTCATATATAGACCAATACAAGGACATTCTCTATGCACCTCTCTAGTATTGACAATGTCCAAGTTACCGAAAAAATGGTCTAGATAGCCTTGCATTGCAACTTTTGCTTTTTCTGAGACAGTCTGCTGTCTGCTCAATGCAGGACGAATGATTGACAAAGCAGCTCTGGATGGAACATTTCTGCAGGAAACCAACTCTAGGAGTTAAAACATCCCAAATTACTCAGGTGTAACATTCTACTTGAAAAGCTAAAGGATTATACCCTTGCAATCACCTGTTTTTAACACTTTCATTGGAGAACATAGGCACAGCTCCGTCATCAGCTTCATCATCATCATGCATTACAGCTGTATGATCTCCAATTCCAAAGTATTGAAGCCATTCCTTAACCTTTTTGTGCAAAATTTATATACAAACCTTAGCATATTTTAGGCATCATCCACAAAAGGAAATTATATAATACGTACCATCACTGTAAGAGATTAAGAACAATAAATAGTTATCTGTTTGCAACTGTGCTTAGATTTAATGCAGAGAGAGAGAGAGAGAGAACCTGCTCTTGCTTCTCATGAAACTCTTCAATAATGGCACGCTTCTTCAGTGCAAAGTGTAGATAAAAAACTTCTGAGGCCTTCTTCAATAGTGACCACTTAAACTGTCAATTGAAGTACATTTAATCAGCATGCAATTTGAACTCTATTGAAATCAGTAAAACCCAAACAGACAGACTTTAAAGTCTTCCTTCTGCCAAAAGAAACAGACAACAGAGACGGACACACAGTACACATAGAGAGAGAGAGAGAGAAGGCAAGGAAAGAAGGAAATGAGAGAAGTTCATTGCTAAAGCAACTATGATTAAGAAGCATATGAAAAACATCCTTCAAATAAAAGCTATCACAGGATAGAAGCATATACTGAGTAAAGAAATTTGACGATAACATGTTTAACACCAAAAGCATTATTCAGAAATTATACCAAGTGGTTAAAAGCAGTAAAATATTCTTCAGCAAGGAGTGTGTTGTTAAATGTTAACTCATGAAAGACAAAAAGATCCGACAACCTTAGCATGATCAGTTTCTGGTTCTTCTAAACTATAACATACACTAGCAAAACACTAACCAATCAGCTTAGTTTGGAACATCTGAAGTGGGGATAGCCCAGCTCAAAAGCTCCAGTAAGGATTAAAGAATGAGTTATCTAGCCTCTACAGGCACATAACAGTTTAAGATTCAATGGTCTGGAGAAGAGAGACTGTGCTAGTGTTTTCCATCACATGAGTTGCAGTCATGATTTCCTTGACTTGCTCAAAAAAGAAAAAAGAAAGAAAATATAAATTCCTGTAACTGCAAGTACATTTTTTTTTTCTGGTCCTGAATCTTCTCATACATTTCGTAACACTCATGCTTCCACCTGCCTTTCTGTCTCTAATATTCAATTCCAGGCATTCACCATGACCTTAATGCATTAATGGAATTTTTTTTAAAAAAATTATCAATTCCTTCTCAAAACAAAGCTATTTTTCCATTAAATCCTAAAAATCTACAAACTGAAGTTCCCTTCACAAGCATGATGTGCTGACGGGATTGAAAAAAGCCACCTTGTCACTGTTAACCAACACATTTGAAAGATTCACTTTTTGTCTCAAAAAACTTAAAAAACATCTTCAGGTTCAAAAGGAACTCTATCACAATTTCCAAAAGTACTTTCAGCATCATTTAAATTCAGAATGTACCTTCTGCATCGTGACAAAAGTTCCACAATCAAAAGAACTTGAGAATTTTCATATTGCTATGATTTATTATACTAATCACATCCTCCATGTATACCTACCCCCAACAATAACACCAACAACCGAAAAAATGCATGGAATATCCATACTCATAATTGTACATGAACATTATGTAATTGTCGAAAAATGTTGGAATGCATCAAACAAGCAATTAGCAGCCCAATTTCCGATAAATAAGTATTAGTGTATAAGAAATAAATATAGATTTAATTCAAGTATAAATTCCACCAAGCTGCTTATACATAACCAAGTAAATTATCGACCAACCAAATATTTGCATTGGAACAAAGGTGTAAAAAAAGAAGAAGAGAAAAAACTCAAATTCTTTCCATTAACAACACACAAAAAAAATAAAATAAAAAGATAAAACAACATTTCTTCTTATATCCTTTGCAAACTTATTCAATACCAACAAGAAGAGCAATAAAAAAATTGCCCCTCGCATAAATATAGTAAAAATAGCCCCAAAAAAAAAAGAGACCCCGCCATATGCGTATTATAGTATTAAATTCTAAAAAAAAAATGTGAAATGCCGTTCGCGCCATGCGTACATAGCTACTTCCTCAAATACATATGCCACATACAAACATGCACATAAATGCATCACATATATTATATTCTGATTGGAGAAAACGTAAAAACCAAAAAAAAAAAAAAGAAGAGGAAAAGAAACGAAAAAAGAGTCTGGACCTGTTTGTATTGGACTTCAATGGTGTATGATAAAAGCAATGGGCTAATTTCCCCTGCGTCCGGTCTCGACAACGAGACAATTGTCGCCGTCGGCAACTCTTCAAACATTCTCGTCGTCGTTTCCCCGTGGCACCGGAGCGAGTGACTCGATGACATCGCCGACGACGATGGAAGCTTCTCCGGGATAAGTTTCTCCGTCAACATTTCTCTTTTTCTGAATTATTCAGTAAAAATAAATAAGTAAACGTACAAATAAATTCAGAGGAAAACCAAAAGAGCTCTAAGAGCAGAAAGAAGAAACAAAAAAAAAAAGAAGCGTAATATATAGTTGGAGAAGAAAGACAGAAAAGGTGACGTAAGGTTTTAGCCTTTGGGTGCGGGTGCACGGGATTTCTGGGAAGGAAGGTTTAGATGGTGACACGTATGATCCATACATCGTGATCAGGTTGTTTTATACACGTGGCGCAAGCAGGATGGCGGTCATGAAAAAATAAGGTTTGGTTGGGGGCGGTTTTAGTGGTTCGCGAGCATTTGAACTGGGGAGATTAAGGAGTAATCATGTGATTAAATGGGAAATGAGCTGTTTTAATTTTTAAATCCCTTCTTTGAATGGAATAGTGAGACTTTGGTGGAAAACTGTCTTAACTGAAATGGGTGAAATGACGATTATGTCCTTGTGTTCTTTTCGCATATTCTTTTAGGGTACTGATTCGCTTGGGAGCAAATTATTAATGAGTTTGGCAAGTTGCTTTTTCAATTTTCTTTTGATAAAATTGAGATTTTTCTGTATTCATTTGGCATTTGTAGCATATACTATGATTTATTGCCAAATCAGGTCTTAGCTCACAAAAATAAAAGCAAAGAGAAGAAAAAAAAAAGGTGAACCAAGTTTGGCACGAATTAATATATAGATAGTAAAAAGCAAGTTATAAAACTCACGAGGAAAATGAAAAAGATTTTTATCATTCGGTTTTATTGAGCTAACTAGATTGCAGATTATTTGGGGTTAGAATTATATTGGAGCTAAAATGAAGTTTTAAAGTAACTCAACAACAAACCAAAAAAAAGGATTATATGAATAATAAAATATATAAAAATTTGCATGATATATTATCACTCATACGATATTTGGGGCCATATTTGCGCTTGATATTGTATGTTTTTTATACAATTTAATCTAATATTTTGAGTTAGTTATATATATATACATATATATATGAAAAAAGTGATTATATAAAAGAAATGACAACATTAAAAGTACAGAAATGTTACTATTTTTTTATTGCAACGATAACATTTGTATAACCTATTCATGTCTAACATAAGGGAAGTGGGAGTCTAATCGACGGAGTTCCGTCCAAAAAAATCACTTAAAAGCAACAATCACGATTAAATGACAAGTATAATCTTGACCTCCCACCCCATCATGACAAACAGCATGGCATAGAAGGTTCCTTAAAGTAAGTAATGGCATTGGAATTTGATTTGGAATATTCTCATATGTTGAAGGGAGCTAGCATGTCTGCTGAATCAGATTTCGGCTAGTTCCAATCACTCAAAAAAGGAAAAGGTCAAATTTCTTGAAAGTGGGGGCTGGGACTGAAAGTGTAAACTCTCAAGGCTACAATGAATCAATTGTAGTCATTTCAAGAATGAATTGTCGAATACGGAACGTGCCGAGTAGAATCCAGTACGGAATATCCAATATTTTTGTGCTTACAACCGAGAATATGCTATAAAGGTTGTATATTGCTTTTCATGGTTAGGTACCCTTTTATGCCTTTAGTATTTTAGTAATAATCTTTGGATCCAATCCTTTAGTAGTCTGTCTCAATTAGCCAACCGATTCCTATGTTTTCCACCCGCAAGTAACAACATCTCCCACCAAACACTAAAGGGATTCTATAATATTGCGTGCTGAGAGGGAAATTTGGTGTGCATATATGTTAATGGAGATGGGCAGGATAATCATCAGAATGGATATGATACACAAACTCTTCTATTGCCATCAACTATTTAGATTGTTGTTGTGTGCACACAGCAAGAATTCCTAGGATAATGTAACAAAAGTTTAGGCTAGTTTGTGTGGGGATAACTTTACAGTTAAGTGATTAAAGTCGAGATTTAAAAAATTATAGGCATCGAGGAATTAGCTTTCAGAACGAGTCATACTGTTCCTTTTCCAGTGTTTTAAATTCCATCCCCCTCTCCTATTAGAGAAAAATTAACTAAAAAAAAAAACTCTGTAGTGATATTTGTACGAATCATACAGGGCATTAGAAAATTTTAAGCTAACATGCTTTAATATAACATTCAAACAAAAAGAATACTAGCATGCCACATTCTAATTATGGGGACCTAGGCAGGCAGTGCTTATTAATGTTTTGAGGTAATTTATAGCTCATGTTTCGCATTTAAAATCATTAGGACTAGAAACATAAATGATGAAAATAAATAGTAGTATATAGTGTTTGATGTACATAATGGCAAAGACGTCCTAACTTAAACTGTCTTTTCTTTATTTCCTACCTTTAGAATAGCTTGAAGAGCCAAATCAATAAGAAGCAAAATTCATTTTGTATCATGAAGAGCATATTCCAGATTCCTAGTCATATTATTATAATTGAAGTGCTTGATTGTTGGCCTTTCCTTTCCCATTAGGGAAGACCCTTTTCACTTTTCACTCCAGCCAATATCTACGGAGTACTTTCTTGTGAGATGCTCATTTATGCAACCCTCAAAGAAATAATTTTGGTTTGAGTGAAATGACGGCAAATTGAAGAGTAGAAAGAACAGATAGAGATGGACAAAGCCTTGGTATTGTTCAGCTCAGCTGTAGCGTTCATCCATTCTAGATAGAGTCCATAATGAGCAAGATTTTATATCATCATAACCTTAAAGGGAACAATTAAGAATTGACCAGAAAGCATCCATTAAGTGTAGAATCGTGGTTCAATTACACGAATTAGACCATATTAAAGGAAAAAGAGCTGTTGCATTAGAATGATTTGTGCTTTCTTTGATATGCTTATGGTTTTGGGTGGCAGAATACAAAAGCCCTCTAAACGATGATAATGAGATTGTTACAGTTCCCTCCGAATCACTATGACTTGCTTAAACTGTCATGTTTTTCTCAAACAAGACAGGAGAAAAGGAGGAGGAGATTAAAGAAGCTCAGGCAGATGAATACACAAATCCTCACGGCCCCTCCTGCTTATTTGTTTTGGTCTTACAAACTGGTGATGCCAATTGTCCTACGGAAAAGCAAAAGAAAAAGAAGCCCTGCAATCACAATCACAATTCACAAGAAGCCAGTTTCGTCAGTTATCTTCCTCTTTAGTTGCTAGTTGCTGCACTGCAAGTATTCTGCTTTCTGAAAGGTGCAAAATTGTAATGCATGATATTTATCGAAATCAAAATATTTACATGATACATTCACACATCTGCGTGTATGAAGCCACTAGATATGCAGAATTGAGCTAGTTAACCACCAACTGATAGAGCATGTACTAGGCATATTACACAATACAGAAATTCCTAACGAGGTGTTCTTTGAACTTGCGCGAAACAACTTCATCTATGGTACTTTCTGCAACAACTGAGTGATGCAGCATACGCAATGGTTTTTATATCCCCTCCTCACAGAAGATTTTGATATTCTGTAAGAAGTCACGAGTAAAATTCCACGATGAGGTCTATGGACCCTTCTTAACAACAGATCGTAGAGCTCAGGTTTCTATGATGAGGTGCCTGAAGATCATACGTGATGTACGCTAAGGAGATCCTTCAGATTCATTTCCAATAGTATCCTGATTGCGTCCTCCTAATCAAGTGAAGCAATACATAGGGAACCTAGAATCAGAATCTGTTGAAAGCACTCAGGAAAATATTGATCAAACCTTGCCGGGTCATGGTTGTATTCTCAAGTGGAGCCCCAATTTCTACACAGGCAATGCACTTTGGCAAGAGAAGCCATGTAGTCATCGGACCTGAGGGATACCAAAGAATAAAAAAATTTTGGTATTTTACCATTTAAATGAAGCTTTAAGTTGAGCAAATTATAGACTATGGGCAGATATTCTGTTAGCAGACCTGAGTCCATAAGGAGATTGACAAGCAGCAACAATGTGACGTTTTGCTTCATCCTGTTTGTCCTGCGTAAGAGAAAACTGCATGCTAATGACCTTCCAAACATAGTAACGAGGCAAGTAATTGACCTTCACAATTACAGCATAACACTTCCATGTAGAACATCAAGCATAGAAATAAACTTGTTCAGTCTCTATTGGTAAATCTTAGTTTAACAAAGGGGTGCTCCAAGTGTCACCCAAGTAGGATAGCCAACAACTGAGTGACAGAATGTGCACCGAATATGATGGTTCAAAGTGTCAATGTTGAAGAGTACTTGGACGACATCCTCCTTTGTGATCAGTGGACCACCTTATTTGTCTGTTCCCTTAAACCACTAAGTGATTAAGTGATTAGATACAGCAAACATTGTATAAGCAATTGATTAAATGTGTGTCATTTTCCTTCAATGTTTATACATTATATGACCACGAAAGTTTCATTAACGGGCTACTTTTGGAAACATTTCATTGCAGAAATATATCAAGGCTGCAAAGGTCAACATGACGTAAAGTTATTTCATCAGCCCTCAATATATCTTGGAATCAACACCTACACTACTCAAAAGTTCTTGTTCTAAACTTATTGCAGAAGGCTCTGATGATACCTAAATCACAAATTGGAAGAATGTTTTAGGACCGCAACTGTAATACCTGGGATTCATAATAAAGTCCAGCATATAGAGAAGCATAGAAATACTCATTCTCCCGTCCGCCAGAAAATGCAGCCACAAGCTATGCAAAGAAATCGGTTAATTAGCTAAAGCATTGCCCTGAATAGCTTAGACACATAGACTAAGAGTATCCCCATATCAATTAGGTGATAAAGTAACCATGTACAAAACACACTGTTTGTATGGAAGAATCTACTCCCAAGTAACAATTTAATTAGCACTTAACTTCAGGAAAAATAGAACTTTTTTTATGTATTCCCAAGGAAAATCAAGGTCTTAGACGAGCTACAGATTGATTAGTTATCCTAAACTGGAACCAACATCAGTCCAGACCTTTTCTGGATCACCACCATCCTTGAACAGGCTGTATGCCTCTCTCATGACAGGACGAGGGTCTCTACCAACCTGCATGTATTAACTAAACTGTTCAAATGCAGTACTTATCAGTTCAAGTGAAAAGATGGAAGCCAAAATGTCTTAT